CACAGCAAGGGGCAGGCTCCCAAAGGAAAGGTTCTCATGTGACGGGGGCACAGTCTTCCTCCACCTGGGCAACTGTGCTCCAAGCATGGCGAAGTCAGGATGTGGCCGTTCCAGCGTCAGAGGGAAGGCAAGGCAGGCACACTCTGCTTTCTGGAAATCTCTTCACAAAGTAGAGTTCCTGGACTCTGCTGTCCTTCGGTGACGTAGTCGGTGTGTGTATTCATGGCAGAGCACAGGGATCCATGGCGCTGGAGAAAGCTTGTGATTTTGCAAATGTCAGAATGTGTCCAAATACATCTCATGGTGGAGAAAGTGACCAAGCTCATGTTTTGTTTCGGCATTTTTCTGTTGTTGTTTTAAGAAGACTCCACTCAACAGTTCTTTTTATTTTTCCTCCCTAAGGTTTTTTGCCATAGGGCACGTGCACTCTCCAGAGAGGAGAGAGACAGTGAGGAATCACCCCCCCAGGGGGGATGGCCATGCTGCAATCCCTTCTCCTTCATTTTCTCCCTGGGATTGTCAGCACACATCCGCACTCACCCAGTGTGAGTTTCAAGCCACCGGGTCTGGGACTCGAACCATGGTTGGCCATGTGGGAGTCCAGTGCCATAATCACTACAATACCTATCGGTCCCCCACTAGACAGTTTATCTCAGAGTCATGCACCCTTATTCAGTTGGCTATTTCTGTTGCTTCCACTCCCAAACTCAATCCTACTTTTATTTTCCAAAACAGAAATGGCTCCTGTAAGCATGTTCGGCCCCCACAAAAAGGACCAGCCTGGTTTCCTTCTGGCCTCCTCTTTACTGTGTCCTGCAGTGAGGAGGCTGGACGCCCAGCCCACAGACAGCGCTACCCCGTGCCTTCAGGGCCATGGGCTGCCTCTGCTGCTTGCCATGCCTGCTCTCCTTCCAGGAAGGTCTTCTGCTACCCACTGGGTTTCGTTCCTAAGAAACTAATGGATAAAAAATATGTCCTGAGTCCCGAAGTGTCTCTTCAAATAACACGTCGATCTGTGGAGTTGATTCCTTTCCTCCTCTGGGCTTTAGACAAATATAAACAAAACTCCGATCCATAAAATTGCTATGCTGATAGAGCAGTGAGGGCTGGAAGCTTGATCAAGTCCTGTTTTTTTCCTTGACACAGACTGATTAAAAATTTAAAAGAAAATGACAGTTCAAGCATGACTTTAATAGTGGAGTGGAGACGGGTGGGCAGGGGAGAAGTGGTGACAGTGATGACGGGCGATGGAGGGAAGGTGTAGGATTACGGCGACGCGGCTGGGCAGATAACGCATGGAGGGTGCTCGCCTCATCCTGTGACTGACGCAGCGTCTATCCTCGGCGGTGCCACCGAGCCACTGGGTGCTGGGCCTGTGGGTAACAGCTGAGTAACCATCCCACCTTCAGTGATAGCCTCGCCCCACCCTGGTACAGCTTTCTACCGCCAGCCCCATTCAGAAGAGCTGCTTTTCAAGGTGTGTGGTTAAAGATCCCCTGGTCTGCTCAGAGGCAGATCCCCTGGGCTGGGTGGCCCTGAGGGGATCTGGGCCACTGCGGACAGCCTCCACCAGGCCTCCAGGCATGAACGTCTCTCTCCCACACCTGCCTTCCCTCCCATGCCCCTAAACATAGGTCATGTCTCAGAGATCACCAGGCAAGGGTCTCATTTCCCTCACACGGGTCAGAGAGGACAAGCAGGCCGTCTCTGGGACCTAGCCTTGCTTCCTTCTAGGAGATGTTCTTCTAAAGTAGCACACAGCTGTCTCACCTGCAGACCAAGTACAGGCATGCCTCTGCAGGCCCCACACCTAGGGAGACAGGTAGCACAGTACCACGGGTACCACGTATGCCACAGTCTTAGTATCAGTATCAGTCTAAGGACAGAGGCCAGCAGGGAGTCAGTGCTGCTTAACTGCAGGGTCAGACACTTTCAGCAAATCACTGGGCCCCTCCCTTCGATTGCTTTCCTTTGGGACCATATCAGACTCTGATACACAATACAGTGAACCCTTTAATGACACGGGAGTTACAGGCACCAACACCCCCCCCCCACCCGGCCATCTCAAA